CGTTTTTATTTTATGATGTTCGCATTTCCCGAATTGGGTGCTTTTTGTTCAATTATTTGTAAAGTACTTCACGTGATTCTTTTGCTCCTCATACCGTTCTTTTCTTGGCAGCTTCTTTCCCGACCCTTTAAATTTTAACGAATTCGCCCAATTGAGTTGCTTCAAACTGCTGGTCAACATACATATCAGTTCTATCTAAAGCTCTTGCAAACAATCATCGAGTTGTTCTTGCAGTCTTTGTTGTCCTCACAGCCCGACCCACTATTGGTTTGTGTCACAGTTTTGCGATCTTCAGTGTTTTTAGAACCACTTCACGAGATATTGGAAGGGGAACCTTACTGGCTTGCTCTATTCTTTGATTGCTATTCGCACGCTGCTGCTAAAACATTGGAGCAGAGACATCGCGAGCTTCCCATGAAATTTTGTGATTTTGATGGCTGTCGATTCACTAAGTCGCTGAGATTGCAGACCACTTGACTTTAACTTATTTATATATATCTCTTTTTAAGCTGCAGTCCTAACAATGTTGCGGAGACCAAGGCGAGAATATTCGACTACATCTGTTTGAAGGAAACGCTGTTTTTCGTAAACTCATGAATCACCTGGCATGTTGCTGACAAAGCAGTTTGTGTGTTTTTGCTTCCCAAGAGAGCAGCTCATCCCGTTGGCCATCTAAGCTACCCATACTTCTCTTTCCAATGTTATATCTTCTCTATTTTGTACATACTTTAGCTGTTAATTTAGCGATAAATTTGCGATTCTATCTTATTTTTCGTTGAATCCAATGGTCGTAACCACTATATACGTTGTCACTACACTGAGATTTGTTCCTAAAATTTCACTGAAAACCAATATTTTCAGAAAAATACGCCCATTAGAGAGACGAGGGCAGTCTTAGACAGCATTTCAATGCATTCGAGGTAGTTTCGTAGCTCTGTCTCATGCCATCAGGTGAGCTTGAAAATGTTAATTGCTAGGTTGATGATTCTCAAATCCACACTAAATTTCTATTCGGCCAACAGTCGGGCTCAATACTTCGACTGCGATATTGTTTTGTCTACTTGCTATGTTTCCTTGATACAGAATCCCGACAATATATCGGTTCGACAGTAGTTCTAACGCTAAGAAGCCGAAAATTTATAGCTTCTCTACTTTTGCTTACAAATTATTCAAGGTTTCCAGGACTACGAAGTTTTCCTTGTCTTCTGTGCCTTTTCCCGTTTCCTTAAGCAAAAGCTCAA